AAAAGTACTCTCTAGATCATCCAAATAGCTCACTTAGGATGGGTTGCACCATCTTACTTTAACTTTGACAAACGTCAAAAATCTGCCAAACTCCATACAAAAAGCACCGGTTATCGTCTTAGTTATCGTTAAATTTAGGTGGTGCAACTCAGCCTTAGTGGATATAGGACATTTTCACCTCGGTCCCCATTAGGTTCAGTACATTAGGTTTTTATCTCCGATTTCCAAGCGACTGGGTTTGCTCGTAATCTGTTGCTTTAAACCTCTTTCTTTACCAACAATGCGGGTTTTAGATATTGTGTGGTAGCTCATGAAAGTTCAAGAATGAAGGTACCTTGACAATAAATACCTAATTGTTTGCGTCCAAACGACGGATTACTCACGCCCGTATTCACAAACATTACTATAAGGTCTCACAGTGCGCGTGGACGCACAGACAGGGTAACACACGAACCAATCACAGAGTTATATTCAACGCTGTGCGTTCGATTTGCTGTTTCACTTAAGCAAGCATCGTTTGTGAATACGGGCGTTAAACTTAAGCATGAAATAAAAAATCGACTGATACAAATAATAAAGTTTTACGCCACATCGGAGTGTTTTGTATGTTTTTTTTTAAATGCCCTAATAAGACCTGGTTATAAATACAAAATAGTTCGTGTTTAAAATGACAAACTTAGATTTTATTTTTATTCACAAATGCCTCAAAGTAGGAAAGAAATAGCAAAAGCGAAATATTATACAGAAGTTCCCGCAACTTCTCGAGAGAATTTTCTTTACGGACAAAAGCCAAGTTAAAGAAAATGAAAATACAAGTTTTTCATTATGAATTGTAAGTGTAGTTGCTTTGAGCTTTTTATCTAAGCATCGTATTTTAAACTAAGGTAAACAACGTTAATCAACTAGACGACCCCAGAGGTCACGGGTACAATCCTGCACAATAAATCATTTGAATGAATTTATATAGGATGGAATTTTGTAATGCCACCTGGAAGGAAAGTAGGTACCTACTCTTAATATTGTATATAGAAAATTTTTCTCAAAAAGAAACATTCCTTTATTTTTGAAAAGAAATAGAACTACATTCAAAGATTTCCAAAAATTTGCTTGCCACACCCGGGAATCGAACCAACTAAATCTGTTAAAAATTACACCCTGAATTTTAAATACATTGTCCGTAAAATTGTAGGGTATGGTAGTGAATTTTCTTCTTCTTTCTTTTCAAAATTAAAGGAATGTTTTCTTTCAGTAAAATTTTCTGTCTACAGTATTAAGAGTATACTTTCTCTCCAGGTGACATAACAAAATTCCACCCTGTATTGATATCAACGTTCTCGCTGTAATAAAAAAAATCGTTTCAACCAAAAAACGTCCACTGCTAGCTAGCTAGCTGTGGCGAAGTGCCTGCGCTGCCTGCATCTAAGTATCTCCTGAAACCTTCATCAAATTGTCGGTACACCTAGTGGGACCCCTGTAAACTACGTCTTCGCCCTTCGTCCGTCCGTGGTCGCTACGCAAGAATTTATTCATAACTAGCGGCCGCCTGCGACTTCGTACGCGTGGATCCCGTTTTACCCCCTTAGGAATTGAATTTTGTAAAATCCCGTCTTAATGAGCACTTACGCTTTAAAAGGAATCCCCATGCAAAATTTGAGACTCCTAGCACTTGTAGTTTCTGAGATTTCGTGATGAGTGAGTAAGTCAGTCAGTCAGTCAGTCAGTGACCTTACGCTTTTATTTATATAGATTAGGTATATTTAGATCAGCTTTGTGGGTAACAATAATTTTAACCGACATGACACTTGGGATACAAGAAAAGATGATGATATTTTTTAACAGTTTTTAACGTTTCCCATTCCATTCCATTTTTCTATTTCTTGTCACATTCCTATCTCAAGCTCGCACACAGTTTTGCTCTGAAATCTGTATACCAAACGGCTCCATAGTCCTAATTTACATACCACTGCACTGTGAAATGCTGGAATATTTTCATGGCTTTAAAATATGAGTCCAGGTAAAATGCGCCGCGAATTTGTTGTCAGTCAGCAGATAAGCGAGACTCTTCCTGAATGCGGTTGGGAGACAGAGTAGATTGTGGCAGAGAATATGGAGCTTTAAATTAATTAGTCAGTTTCTGATCTGAGAGATTTCCAAAGTATTGGTGGTATATGGTAATGGTATGATGATGAAACCCACCTCGAGTGTAGTCAATCTTCTCATCATCATCATCGTTTTCAGCCATAGGATGTCTACTTCTTAACCATAGGTTTTCCAGATGATACGGTTGGTAGCGGCCTGCCAGTGGCTTCCTGCTACCTTTATGTGGTTGTCTGTTCTTTTTGGTGGACGTGCTACGATTTACCTGCCACTACTTTTATAGCACGTGGCTCGCATAACCTTACTTCTCCATCGGCAGTCAGTTCTACGTACTATGTGCCCTGTACATTGTCACTTCAGCTTGCTAATCTCCTGGGCTACCTTAGCGACCTTTCCCTTACCGCTCTATGCTCTAACCTACGGAGCTACGGAGACATTTAATTTTTTTAATTAAAATTAATTAATTTTTTTAATTAAAAAGTGATTTTTAAGCCTATTTACAGAAATAAATTAGTTTTATTGCTGTTCATACCCATCGAAGATAATCGATTTTTAAAATTCTTAAAATAATATTTTAAACGCTAAACTTGACTTTAAGGCAATAATAACCAATCAGTGTCGGCGTTTAAAATATAAGTGGAGATGCACCACTTAAAAACTAAAATGTTTATAAAATTAAACATTTATTTTATTAATTTTTACTACCCAAATCTCTATGTACCCTCACTACTCTACGCCCTCTCGCGTGTCTGTACCAAATGGAAGATGTGTGGGAGCGTTTACTACGAACAGTTTGCGTTACACGATATTACTCGTGCTATTTATATTACTTTTTACTCGGCAAACATTATTTTATTTGAGTAGCCTTTTTATGAGCTGTGCTAAACAGGATGAAATTTTAAATGTTTGTTACAGTTCGTGTGACGTAAGCTGAGCTTTCAATTTGTGTAAGTGAACTGAGCACCAAAAGTAGAGCAATATAAAAAAAAAACTTTAAAAAAATCAGACCCCAGAACTCTGTTAGTATGTAGTAGGTATAAGCTATTTTTTGTTACCCAAGAAAACTAAATTCCACATTTTGGTTATGTGTAACTTTTCAGCGTTTATTGGAACTATTGTGAGTGTCAAGGAACTGTCAACCTTAAGGATCACACTGGATGCGTTCTGTGGTCACGTCAAAATCCTTTATTGATCAAGGTTGAACAAGGTTTAACAAAATCAATAAATGAAAAAAATACTTTTATTCTTTCATATTCTATTTTTTATCCACACGTCTTTGTTATTTTAAACTATGGTAGAGGCACAAACAAAAACAAAATGAATCATTTTAGAAATCGAACCTGTATCAAAACGTAAAATAGACTGCAGATAATAAAATGCGGCCGTTTGGTGTAGTGGTTCGAAACGGACAACTATTCCGGAGGTAGCGGGTTCGATTCCCGCACAGTACAAACATTTGTGTGCATGAACATATTTGTTTGTATTGGACTGGGTGTTTTCTATGTATAATAAGTATTTATTTACAAAAAAAAGAAAAAAGTATTTAAGTATGTTTATATCCGTTGTCTAGCACCCATAGTACAAGCTTTGCTTAGTTTGGGACTAGAAGCGCAGTGTAAAATGTCCAAGGATATTTATTTATTATTTATATATTTATTAATCTTGTTTAATTCTTAGATTTCAGTTGTTATTGATTTAACTCACACCTTAATTTATTAAGTAACAGTGATATCAATTTATCAACTGATAACCTGATAAGAAAAGGGCATTGCTACCCAACACAGATATTATTAGTTATTTAATTAGTGTGTACGTGTTTAAAATGGCTAAAAAAGAAAAGACGAAAGAAATAAAAGTAGTTTCTAAGAAGGATAAAAATGTGAAAAGTGTTGAAAAGAAAAAAAAGAGTGATAGTAAAAATGTAGGAAGAAAAAAGTGCAGTTTAGATGTAAGTTGTTTAAGTAGATACTTATTTTTTCTTCCTCGTGGAAGAGATTAAAATTCAATTCCGCTATAGGATTCTTATATTTCTTGTCAGATCATAAAGTTAACTCAAGCACAAAATCAAGTTACATTGAAATCGATCAGACTGTGCTGTTCCTTCGCGTAATATTGTACGGTTTTTTGTAACAAATTGTACATTTTTTGTTATAGTTTCTTTTGGTACAGAATATATTATGCAAAATTAATATCATTAATTTTATTTTAAAAAATCTTACACACACTATCCTGTGTAAAAAATATAAAAGGAAAATTGAATGACTTTAACGTACTGGTTAAAGAAATATTAAGTTAATCAAATGACTCTTTAACTGACGTGTCCCAATTCCGTTGCAAATTCCCTAAAATATTTCTGACAACTCGATAATTATGTTTACTGATAATATGAAAGATTAACGATTTTACATTACTAACAATCCATTAAAAATTGACAATATTCAATGAAGCTAGTATCCAGGTGATTAAAAATAACTGCATTTATGATAGCTTTACACAAGAAGATAGTTATAGTGTAGTATATATAGTGATAAAAATGTCATAAAAGTATAGTCGTGTTGCCAAAAAAAGATTTTAAATACTTACCTAGTCTACACTATTATTATTATTATTAATATTATTAATTATTATTAATATTATAAAGAGGAAAACTTTGTTTGTTTGTTTGTTTGTTTAGTTGTAATNAAATTTGAGAACGACATTTTTTTTTTGTTGCAACGCGGGTAGAAACGTCGCCAGTGTTAAGTATGAGAGGCGAGAGGGGCACGAGTAAAACTATAGACGGCTGTCAACGCACTGGCGTTTATTCATAGTAAACCGCGGGCGCAGCCGCGCAACTAACCTAGGTACATACATGTATGCATATATAACAGTTACCTTTAAATTCATATTACCTTCTCTTCCAGACATATCACCCACCAGGTCAGCAGTGCCGCTCCTCAAATTCCAGCTCAAACTGGTCCGCAACGGCAAGTTCCTGATCATGATGGACTGTCAAATGGGAGTGTCATCGCTGTCAGCGCGTTCTGACCATCCGCCGTACCGTTCTGAGATCCTGGCTGCCACTGCGCATCTAGATCTTGGAGACGGCTTCCCATCCTGCGTCAGCGATAAGAACAAGGACGAACGGTTTTTGGTGAAATAAATGTGATATGAGTGGAAAAGGGTGGTCTTTTGTTTTCCTTTGGATTTATGTTTTTATGAATCCTTAAAAGTCATGCAACTCAAGTGAAGTTGAAACACATTACATTAGGTAGAATACTTTCTGAATTGAGATTAAAAATTCAAGTTAAAAATCTCCATTCGGAAAATCGGGGATAATTATCAGAAAACAATTTTAGAATCGTCATGACCTAAAGTAATTAAATTAATAAATAATGTAATTTACTTTTCTCACAAAAATAAGCTAAGCCTTATTACAAGCAGTATCTCTAAGACTTATTACAAAATTATAGAGCATTAATTACATCAGACTCAATCTTAATCGTAATTCGTAGTCAATATTCAGCGATGACTGTTGCATTGGTATTTGTTGACACGGGAACTTGAAAATAAACATTTAATTTTTAAATTATGCAAACAAGCAATCGAACTGGACTTCTTTATAAATACATTTGATTTCTTTATAAATAGAGCTGTTTCTTCAACGTTTCTTAGTTATAACAAAGACAGTGTAGAACTCTTATAATAAAAGAGACTCAAATGTAAATGATAGCTAAGAAAAAGATAAAACTTGCTGATCATCTTTTGATTTCTCAGTAGGTAGTCAGAAATGATGCTGTTAGTGATTCTGATATCAATTTTGTCTCTAAAAGAATCTGAAGGCATGGTAAACGATCTCCATAAGCAAAATATCAGCACGGAAAATTGGACAACTTGTGACACCTTCCTCCAAAACACTACCTATGACAAAATAAGCGTAGTTGATGTTGATTGGATCATATTCTACTTCTGGAGCATGCACTTTGAGAGAAGTTACCATATTCGGTTCAGTATCCCGAGCAAAGTGGTAAGTATCGCGACTATTCTGTTTTTATAACATTCCAGAATTAGAGATTCTTTAGGAGTGCATGATACTGGCTTGATTAGCTACGATTACACTCAACATTTTAATAGTATGAAGCAATTTGATACAAGATATTTGAAGCCAGCTGAAAGCCTTATATCATTTAAATAAATAAGACGTCAAATGCTGAATATATGCATTGCCCAAATAATGAATCCCATTCAATTATCCAAGGCCACTTATTAACTATTACTCGTCACCAGGTTGCGATTTTGCGATTGTGATTGCCAGGTGAGATTGTGGTCAAATACCTACCTGCATTGTTAAGCATACAAAAAATAGTATTTTGCCTCCACCTTTGGTAAGTTGGTTTCGATAGGTGCAGAGGTACCCGTAAAAGCATTAATTAGAAGAATTAATTACTTCAAACTTTTCTTTGTAGCTAATAGACCGTTTTCGGGTAGAGTTGAATGACGTGATCGAACCTCGTGTCAACTGGACGGAGTCTGAGCTGTTTGTGGAGACTTCCATAGACCTGAGTGGCCTCTTCATCAGGACAGAGACCCCGGGGAAGTTCAGATTCATACCTTCTTTGGCTTTCAGATGTAAGTGTTGATATTCTTTGAATTTTCAACAAGTATCGTTATATCAGACAATGTTAGGCTTTTAGTGTGAAGTAGGCAAGACCGTGCTTAGATAATAATTTAAATAGATGACAATATTATCTATGTGTCCGAGATAAGAAGGTTCTCTACTATAATTGCAATAAGTATACTGTGAAGAGACCGCATTTCCTAAGGTCGTAAGATTTAAATAAAAAAGTAATTCCAAAAAATTGTATTGTATTGTAAAATATTGTAAAATAGACTGCGACTCTTAGCAAATTGCAACTATAATAGTGTTGGATTCAATAAATAAAAATTCTTCACCATCTACCTCTTTTTAGTCCGTAGTTGCTACTTCGCTCCGAGAAGGTATCGCGAAATTGACTCTGTCTCAAATGCTACTTTATTTCCGATGGAAGGGTCTAGTACAGCGGTTCCCGAATGGAGGTCCGCGGAACCCTGGGGTTCCGTGGAAAGGCCGCAAGGGTTCCGTAAAAAATATTATCCCACGTTTCGTGACCGACGTTGTTCGCTCGCTCCGACTTGTTTACGCACAATGGAGGGGCAGGGCGTGCGGGCGGAGCAGTACGGGGGTTCCGCTAGGAATAGTATAATCAATTAGGGTTCCTTGGCAAAACAAATTGGGAAACCCTGGTCTAGTATTTGGTTAAACAGAACAATAAACGATTTGTACTAATTACAGATCGCTCTGCGCCATACCTGCTCTTCGCTCTGAAGATGGTGGACGGTTTCCTGGGCATGATGAACTGCAAGCACAAGCAGGCCTACGCCTTGGCTCCTATTAGGACCCTGAACCAACTGAAGCCACAAGACGTAAGTTCTGTCATTATTGTTGTTAATTAAATGGGAATGATTAGATGTCAAAGATGTTACATTTAGAAAGAGTCGTATACCTAAAGAAAAAACATTCACGTTCATTTAAACTGACCAGTTTAACTGACGTAGGATACATATTCAAAAACTGACTGTGTAATATGAATTTCATCTAAAAATTTCACACAGGCGGTCAGTTTTTGGATGTACGTCATCCTAGACTGCATCCCACTTAACATCAGGTGCGATTGTGGTCAAATAACTGCCTTGTTATGCATAAAAAAATAACTGACTGTGAATGTCCAACTTTAGATAGAGAAAATAGGGGAGAACAGTGAGGTACTCGTAGGTACAACCTTATCAAATAACCAATTTTTACCATGACGTGTGACTAGTGGAGAAAACAAATTGCGTTTCCTCACATTGAACTTCTTTTTCCCACCAAAACTTGTAATCCAGTAATTTGGCTCTAAATAATGGGGTTGTTTCCCTGGAAAGTTTCCCGTGAGTTTTGATCATTGCATATTATTCATTGTCAAAAAGTTGTAAATAGTTTAATGTCCTTATTTCATCTTCTTAGATGGAGGCAGCAGCAAAAAAGATGGGCTTCTGGAATCCATTCGGGCGTTCATACCTCATGAAGAGCAAGTCCTTCGAGGATCCCGCGCCGCTCCCTCCTCTTGAAGACATCGACGATGCAGAAGATGACATCCAGATTGAACTGGATCGCGAGCAGAACCGGTTCCAAATCATATAGTTGTGTATAAAATATTTTTCATTTAGTTAATAAACATTTAGATGTTCTACAACAAAGTTCTCGCATGAATCAACAATGTTTTAAAGTAGATGTGTATTGTAGTATTCCCATTTCAAGAAAACTACTCGGTGTCGGTACAATAGGCTATAGCGGAAAAACTGTTACTACACGTATCGTATAACAAGTGGTTGCCAACATTTCCTGAATATTTTAGAACCATTGAACTTTTTATTTCTTATCGTCAACAAAAAAAAGAAAACAAATTTATATTTACATAATTTATAAAATATGACTTCGGTTTTTAAATTGTATGATGATTTTACCATATCTCATTGACGTTCCACCATTAAACCATAAAACATACTGGCATTACTAGCCTTACCACCCATCAATTATACTCGTACAAACGTTTCAGTAGTACAACAAGGTTTTGCCCCGTCCTTTTAAATTGTAAAGAGAAAGATCAATCAACGTAAAAATATGTCTTACAAAATGTTTAGAACCCCTACTGTCGATGCACTTGTTACAAATATAAACCAAAGTGATAACAACGCTACCGTTCTTTGTGTAAAATGCGACTGCAAGTTGCTTTGCTCTTCCTTGTTTACACTGAGGGTAAAAAGAAGTCCAAGGTTTCCGATGACGCTGTCATCGACAATTTGGACGTGTTCCCAGCGCCGTTTCCGTCGCCTGTCCCTTTCGGCCACATATTCAAAGATGGAATAGGAGATGTAGTGCCAGGCTTGAAGCAGCCAGTAGACCTGTTAGAGCTGGACCTTTTCATACCAACGCGAGATGAGCAAGATAAGTACCTAAAAAAATTACCAAAGCAAAATATTATCAGAATTAATAATAATCCAATAGAATTCGCCAACCCTCGAGACAAATATTTGCGCTTCAACCTTAACCAAGCCGAAGAAATTGCTAGACAAGGCGTGACCACGTCACCCAATAAAACCGACGACAGACCGCAGTGGTTCAACTTCGAAGTCATGCTGGAGAGGAACTTCAATACTCCGAGGCCGGCTGTAGCTCTAGCAGCAAGGACTCCAAAGCCAGATCGTTTTGACGAGAATTCTGCGAACGGACCAGACCAGGAAATTCAATCTAATGATGTACGTAAAAGGAACTATTTTTCCGCGCACACCTACAGTTTGTTGAAGGACCCTCACACAGCACCGATATATGACCACTGGACGACATGTGACCAGTTTGAGAGAAAAACTCGTAAATTCCATCCGAAAGATATCGTGGACCTCGATTGGATTCCGTTCTATGTTTGGACGACTAGACACTTTGTGGTTTCAGTTGTTCATCGATTCTCCTTTCCTACAAAAAAGGTGAGTAAAATACCTTCTGTATACTTTCACAATATAATATTCATCATCATTGGCTAGATAGACACCGAAACCAATAACAATATCGTTGTGTAAGTCCTATTACCAATTTGGGTCAGATTGATAAAGTCGTGCTTTGTTCAGATAATTTATTAAAGCACTAGTCCTGCCTGCATTTCTACAAGGTTAATAATATTTTTTGCATTTCCTTTCTTAACTTAATTTTAGCTTTACCTTACATACTTTTTGGAAGACTATTAAAAAGATATCTGATATTCCAGACGGTTCGAGAGTACAGACATACCTACGGACCCCACATAAATAAGACTGTATACTGGGAAAACCCGAAGCTCCTGCTTAAGGAGGATATGGAGCTGCTGCTCATAGCTGCAGACAGGAATGGTCTATTCCACGGAATCCCAAGGCTGAAAATTCCGTCAAATTTTAAATGTGAGTACCTAGATAGATAGATGGAACACACAATATTGTACACCACAGAAGAAAATAAAAAGTAAGAAATATACAAAAGATACGCCACAATTTGAAGCCACGACAGCCACAACGGTGGCAAGTTTTTTTTAAAATCCACAACGAGGAAGCTCTTGGCCTGTATCTCACCTTCCCTTCTATGATCTGAGATCTCACCTGATGGTAAGTGACGATCAGGCCGAAGATGGAAGCGAGCTTCACCCGGAATCCTCAACCACGGAGGAACTGGCTATCTTACCTCTAACTGCCGGAACACAACAATGCTATTAACATTGTTGTTATGGCGACAGACTTAGGGAAGATGGTGGTAGCTAGCCAGGCAGACTTGGAACAAGCCCTACCACCAACCAAACCGAACAGAAAAATCTGCCCCCACTGGGAATCGAACCCGAGACCTCTGCATCTGAAGCAGGTAGGCTTACCACTAGACCACAGCGGTTAAAATCCCATTATCTGTAGTGAATACTTTGTTGCTTCGTTCGTTATAACCAAATGACGTCCACTGCTGGACAAATGCCTCCCCAAGAATTTCCACAATTTTCTTTTTTTTATGTGACAGGAGGCAAACGAGCAGACGGATCACCTGATGGTAAGTGATTACCGTCGCCCATAGACACCCGCAGACCCAGGGGCGTTACAGGTGCGTTGCCGGCCTTTAAGGTAAAGATACGCTCTCCTCTTGAAAGCTTGCAGGTCGTATCCGTCCGGAAACACCGCAGACGGCAGTCCATTCCACAGTTTGGTTCGAGAGTACAGACATACCTACGGACCCCACATAAATAAGACTGTATACTGGGAAAACCCGAAGCTCCTGCTTAAGGAGGATATGGAGCTGCTGCTCATAGCTGCAGACAGGAATGGTCTATTCCACGGAATCCCAAGGCTGAAAATTCCGTCAAATTTTAAATGTGAGTACCTAGATAGATAGATGGAACACACAATATTGTACACCACAGAAGAAAATAAAAAGTAAGAAATATACAAAAGATACGCCACAATTTGAAGCCACGACAGCCACAACGGTGGCAAGTTTTTTTTAAAATCCACAACGAGGAAGCTCTTGGCCTGTATCTCACCTTCCCTTCTATGATCTGAGATCTCACCTGATGGTAAGTGACGATCAGGCCGAAGATGGAAGCGAGCTTCACCCGGAATCCTCAACCACGGAGGAACTGGCTATCTTACCTCTAACTGCCGGAACACAACAATGCTATTAACATTGTTGTTATGGCGACAGACTTAGGGAAGATGGTGGTAGCTAGCCAGGCAGACTTGGAACAAGCCCTACCACCAACCAAACCGAACAGAAAAATCTGCCCCCACTGGGAATCGAACCCGAGACCTCTGCATCTGAAGCAGGTAGGCTTACCACTAGACCACAGCGGTTAAAATCCCATTATCTGTAGTGAATACTTTGTTGCTTCGTTCGTTATAACCAAATGACGTCCACTGCTGGACAAATGCCTCCCCAAGAATTTCCACAATTTTCTTTTTTTTATGTGACAGGAGGCAAACGAGCAGACGGATCACCTGATGGTAAGTGATTACCGTCGCCCATAGACACCCGCAGACCCAGGGGCGTTACAGGTGCGTTGCCGGCCTTTAAGGTAAAGATACGCTCTCCTCTTGAAAGCTTGCAGGTCGTATCCGTCCGGAAACACCGCAGACGGCAGTCCATTCCACAGTTTGGTTGTACGGGGCAGGAAGTTTCTAGAGAAACGTACTGTTGTGGACTGCCAACCATCTAAGTGATGGGGGTGGAAGTGCTGTCGGGTAGATCGGTGGCGAAAAGTGGCGGCAGGAATAAGTCCGGATAATTCTTCGGAGCACTCCCCGTGATACATGCGATAGAATATGCACAGTGAGGATACATCTCTACGCAGCGCCAAGGGGTCAAGCCGATCCGAAATGTCCTGGCAGTCAACGATTCGAGCTGCTCTCCGTTCAATGCAGTCCAGAGGCAGAAGCAACGAACAATGACCGGTCATTCGCTGCCCACATCCAGGTACTTCCCGCGACCTTGATCACCAATCTTCAAATTTCAAATTTTAATTTCAGTTGACAACAACACCAAATTCCCGGTCATCACGATGCGAATCAAAATCGAAGATCCGTACCTAGCCATGATGTTCTGCGACGAGTATTACGCTGTCATCATGGCCACTACCAACTCTGGGCCTTTGACTGATGAGGAGAAGACGGAGGAGGCTACTATCATCAACTTCAAGGGTACCGGCTTCCCGGTATCGAGGGACTTGGAGCTGGAGGACATAAAGAAGAAGGGTGAGATAGAACAGCGACATGAGGAGGAAGAAACGAAATATATCAAAGTTTTGGACACGGGCTTCGAAATCGAACGAGAGTGAGATCTCTAGGTATAGTTCTTGCAACTCACATTATAGTTGTTGCAATTCACCAAGGTGAGTGAGCTTTACTTGTGTGTGTACGTGTACATGCACATAACGATAGTCACTATCGTTATGTGCATGTATATCGGATAGTGTAATGTCTATCAACACTTTTGAAAAACGAACAGTAGCGGGACACCACACATGTAAAGCTCACTCGCCTTGGTGAATTGCAACAACTATAATACTTTGGTTATTAGATTGATTTTTGTGGTATATTCACTATGTCACATAACTTAGTTGATCACAATAGATATTATTTACTCGTAGCTCGTACATATCAAATAAACATTATTATGTACCTGCTTTCAATGCAACGTTAATTCTAGTTCAATTTTTTTTTATAAAATAACTTAACTATTTTACTAATTTAAAGAGTTTCTTTTACACAAATTGAATACATACCAATCTATAATTTTACAAAGGTATAATTTTTCCCTAATTTTGTAAGCCAATACAACAACACAGTGAAGTAATCAAAGATAAGTGTATTTACATTAATAACTCCTAGGAACGGAAAAAAGTGTCAATGTTAGCCGGCCATGTTTGTTTGCCATATTAATCTAAAGCCGTGATACTAACTATTATAGTCTATTACATAAATTATCCTGCTTTCGCCTCCGAGATTTATTTTACCAAGTAGTACCCCTGTACGACAACCCAATCCGCACACAATATTCAGCGTAGTAGTATTAAAAAACAAAAGAGCGGGCAACCCCACCTCTACCACGCTGTGGGCTCGGTGTCCGAGCGGTCTCATTCCTTTGTGCGCACGCGCAACGACCGCACGCAGTATAAGAAAAATGCTTAAGTGACGTCACCAGGTCGTTTTTACCGACAAAAAACGTAATTATTTTAAGTTGTGCAGTGTAGTGACGAGAATTAGACCCAACAAAAGGTTGGTTGTAACAACTATTTTGTGCAAGTGCTCGTACATTTTTATTATAAGCGTTGTGACACGACGCGTAACTTTGACCCATTTTTAGCTCCAAGTTAACGCGCGATGTTAACCAGTAGCCATTTTTTTATTGAATGATCAAACGAACTTACCAAGTGAAGTTCGATCTAAATTATCCTGTTTTCGCCGAAGAGATTTAAGGTCCCTCCCAACCCGAAGATTTCTATATCTTCTTCCCTGGAGGTAAACGTCAATGTCATCTCTTCTCTAAATATAATGAGACCGCTCGGACACCGAGCCCACAGCGTGGTAGAGGTGGGGTTGCCCGCTCTTTTGTTTTTTAATACTACTACGCTGAATATTGTGTGCGGATTGGGTTGTCGTACAGGGGTACTACTTGGTAAAATAAATCTCTTCGGCGAAAACAGGATAATTTAGATCGAACTTCACTTGGTAAGTTCGTTTGATCATTCAATTGTTTGCTCATATTTGCGCCTTCTTATTTTCCAGATTCATTAAGTAAGCAAACACATTCCATTGATTAATTGCCTCAGATTACAAACTATTGGGCCCACATCCTTTCAGAAACGACAACAATATGAAAGATAATTCGCAAACATCCCCCAAATCAATTATAAGAACAGCTCTGGTAATTAGGTTTTAGTTAGATCGAAAGTGGAATCGAGAAAGTTGGACAGTGAAACTTTATAGATTTTGAGATATTACATTTAATATTATTAAAAACCTTTTTTTAGTAAGCTATTACTTGTGCACTGTGGGTCTAGACAAAGTGCAAAATATAATCGCAAACCAGTCGCAAAGTGGTCGAAAAGCCCCTTTTTTGTATGGAGTTTTGACGGATTCGATTTTCGATTCGATCAAAAAGTGCGTTTTGTCTAGGGGGGCTGGTTAGACTGGATAGATCTGTGCAAACCAGAAAAAAAAGATAAGCCACTGAGAAACAATAAATTCCAAATTCAAACTTTTAAAGAACGCGCCATCATGCTCGGTCGTGCCAACATAATAATTGTTCTCATAATAATGTTCATGCCAAGGAGTTTCATTGAAGGAGTGATGCATCCTGCTGCGTCGATAGAGAAACCAATGACGTGTGAAGAATTTGGCCAAAGTGCGAGGTTCAATCCGTATTCAGTGCTCGGAGATGTGTGGATGGCTTTCTACTACTGGGCCCCCCATGAGGGGAAAATAGAGTTTAAGTTCGTGTACCCAAAACCAAGAGTAAGTGTGATTTTTGAGTTATTTTATTTTTTGTGCCTCTTGAATGTTTTATGAGTAGCAAAGTAACAAGCAACCAGTATTGGAATTAAATACATTAAAATATTACCGTTGACTTTACAGACGAATTTGAGGATGTTGGTATTTTTTTAATCTTATATTTTACTTATGCTTTTACCAAGTGTCTTATACCTACAATACAATTTATGTGTTGTTGAAATAATAATTTATTGAGAAAACTCAAAATTTAATTAAAGTTTTTGAATCACTGTTATTTTACCGGACACTTTTACGATGAGATGTCGTGTTGTTATACAATAGGAGAGAGCCTTCCTCCGAGAGTTGCTGAGTGACCAGCACGTGACAGTCCCTGTGAATTGGACAGCGCGATTCGTGGTCATGGAAGACCAGGGGACGCGCGAGTCTCTACTACTGGTGGAGAAAGGCGACAGGGGACAGTACTGGCTCTATCCTTTTGCCAGGGGTAAGTTACTATTCTCTTCTTACTGGCAGAAGCAGTTGCTTATGATATCGGAGAGATCCTGCAAGAGTTGCTGAGCGACCAGCACGTGACAGTTCCTGTGAACTGGACGGCGCGGTTCGTGGTCATGGAAGACCAGGGGACGCGCGAGTCTGCTGCTGGTGGAGAAAGACGACATGGGACAGTACTGGCTCTATCCTTTCGCTAGAGGTATCTCCTACGTTACTATCAGCTTCGTACCGGCAAAGTCTAGTTGTTTATGTAAAGGAGAGACTAGAAGAGTTGAGTGACCAGCACGTGACAGTCCTAGTGAAGAGGACCAGGGGACGCGGGAATCCGTGCAGCTGGTGGAGCTGGCGACAGGGGACAGTCCTTTCGCCAGAGATATGTTACTTAATAAAAATTGTGTTGAGCATTTTACTCTATTCTCTATCTATTCGTTTCCTACGTTTTGTAGGTATCCATTTTGAAGTTTCTTATTTGTCTGGTTATTTTCAGGTGTGGAAAAAGAGACCAAGGTAGAACCTTTAGAAATACGAATCAAACAGACCGGCAATAATAAGTACATCGGCCTTATGTATTGCAAGGTAAGTTAGTACAAAAGATAATTAATATAACAGTGATAAAGAACAATTTTAAGTTACTTATTTTCGAGACAAAAATAGTAAAATCAGTATTAAATCGAGGCGCACGCGTGTCACTACACTGATTTTTATCGGACGCCCTCAGTCGTAGTCGTCAGTATAATAGTAAACGTTGACCTTTCAGAGAGAGACAGTATACGTCTTGGTCAGACGGACCGAGATTCCCCCTAAAGCCAAGATCCAGGACGCAGCGGCCTGCATCGGCTACCGCGGCAGGGGAGGCAGGTCCTACTTGTACCAGGGACACCACTGGATGCCCATAGGGGAGGCAGACGAGGACGAATACTGGAACCCCGAGAAACATTACAAAAAACACCAGGAGGAGCTTCGACAGGCCGAAAAATTGTTAAAAATGGAGAAAAGGAAAAAAAGGAATTTGAAAATAGAAGCAGATGATTTTAAGGTAGAGAAGAACATACTACTGTAGAGGATTGTGATGCAGGATTTAGATATTCTGTTTTCGACCTTGATACAAGTTAGCAAGGTTGATTGTGCCTTAGATTTACTGATCTATTTATTTACTTTTTTAAAATTACAGGCAAAGGCATATTTTTTAATCAATCAATTTAATTGTAATTGTCAATTTTTTGTAGTAAATTATTTCGAAGTCTACACTATCTATGTTACACAAAATTTTTCTTTTTTATTTCAATAAACGGATACACTTTTTTATGGACGATAAATTAAACTTTTTATTACTTCATAAATTTGCTATGTGGAATTATTTTAATAATAGGTTATAAACAAAACTATAAATTAGGCGAACCGTAAATGTACATTTCGTTTAGGTTTAACGATAAAGTCTAGAATTTTACAATATAAATATTCTATAATTCGATGACAATGACTCTGGAGGTTAAATAAGTATTAATTTACCTTCACAATAGTAACTTATTTGTGTCAAATTAATAGCAATAATGCTTACATAATATTATGACACTAGCACATTAGGTTTTACACTGTGGCATAACGTCGTTGAAGTGACAATACTTAATTGTTTAAGAAATCGAAATTTTTAATGCAATAGGCTTAATTAAAAAAAAAACGATTTCTAAAAGTATGTCAGGAGGATTTGTCAATTCAACGATTATAATTTTTGCCACAAAAATAAAAAATGTAGTTTAATATCATTGACGTTTAAGTTTAAGGAGCATGCCTGTTTGTGTACACAATAAGCTGTTTATTAGTAACTACCGGGAGTTTTCTACATGAAAAAATAATAAATCGGTCTGACGTTTGAAACCTATTGCTTACTTCTTAATATTATTACAAATCCCACCACTTTTAAAAATCCTAGTTTTTAATATCACTCATGAACACTATTGTCAAAGGTTAACATTAAACAGCTTTATGAATCAATCTATAGTATAAAAACAATTTGAAGTCCATTTTTTATTTAAAAAATGATTAATAAATTAATGTATTTAAAAAGTGCATGGCATTTGCCTTTTTTGCACATCATTAATAAGTCTTCCACACTCAGTAACTATTTAAATTCAGTCCGCGTTGTTCGCCGGTCATCAGTATAATTTAGTACTTGTTAGCTTGAAGCCTCGTCTTTTGAAAAGTCCGTTTATTTAAGTAATATTATCAAACACGCCGCCATTAAGGCATAAATATTTAATGCTATTGTACCCAAGGGTCGCCCGGGGCAGCTCGATTACTGCCAATTAGCAAGCACTTAGAATTATTCATGCTC